ACGAAACAAGCACCGCACGTGGGCTTCTCGGCGTGTCGACTACACGTACGTGATATCTACGCCAAAACTTTTGACAACTTCAGGCCTTCATGCCCGCGTGGATCGAGTGCAACCGAACAACACTGCATCCGTGGATGCAACATACCTGTGCCCAACGACGTGAGATACATCTTGTCCTCGATGTCCAGCGGGAGCGGCAGCTCAAGCTTCTTCGCTGCAGCCTTCGCCAGCACGATGAACTGCGGGATGGCGAACTCCACGAGGGTCTTCGTACACACCACGTCACGTTCACCTTTATCCATCTGTTCTGACTGCTTGCAGGTGATCGCGGCGTATGCGATCGGGAAGGCTTGGAACGTCTTCTGANACGTCTGGTGCTGTCTCGGCAGGGGCACGTTGCCCCCGTATTTTGAATTCCATCTACACCCCCCCCTTGTTTAATCAACGATATTGTGACTGTAAACCATAACCACGTTTGGGCTGTAATCTTGATCTTGGGGGGGGGTCGCATTTATCTTGCCAAGGTTTTGAGGAATCAAGATCAAGATTTCTTTGCCATAAGTATCTGGGAAGGGGCACCCCTCGGAGCGTGTGTCTGTGCAGGGTCCCTCTCGAGGAGATCGGCCCCAACAGGAGCCGATTCCCGAGGAGGCCGCGCCAGCCACCGGCGAGGAGAAAGGTGCTACCCCCGAGGGGACAGAGAACGGGAGCGACGACGACGACAACGACGGCGACGAAGGGGAGTGGGGCAACGAGAGCGAACGGCATGTCATGTACGAGTTGCTCGACGGCTTCCGGTCACAGAACGTGTCCGCGGACGATCGGCACGCGCGCATGACCTCCGCTGGGGGCCAGTTTGCTGACATGCTCTCACGCCACTGGACGGAGAAGTCCACTCCACCCGAGTGGCTGGTGTCCCTCTTCCGCCCCACCGCACCTCCCACCACCACGACTCCGGCTTCTGCAGAGGAAGTGGCTCAGGTGAATACTTCTTCGACAGCACGTAGCAGTATATACCAGTTGAGGGAAATCAGAGCAGTGGAGGTAGCACCTGCCCCGACCTAGTTCTCCGTCAACCAATCTTGCCTACTGTCACTCAGAACACACCTGTCCATCCTCGGAACCTAGCCCCTGGTTTAGCATCTACTCCGGATAGCCAGAATAGTGATTACAGGCGTAGCAACCCTGTCGCACCCGAGTCGGCATCTACTCCGGATAGCCAGGACAGCACATACAGGCCTAGCAACCCTGTAGCACTGTCTACGCCCCAACTGGCGCATTTTTCTATGCCCACAAGCACCCCTACCTCAACACATACATCGGGACACACCCAGAAATTTACTTTTCGCCAGAACGACCTTCCGAAAGAAATATCGTTTTCGGGGAAACCAGGAGATTCCGATGTCGTTGAAATACTGACCAGATACCGAGCACGTGTGAAACTAGCCTCTGTGGCAGCAGACGACCCGGCCGAATCTGTGGTAGACCAAAGCGCGATTCCATTCCTCCCCTTCGTCGTTCGAGGCCAAGCCTATGACACTCTAGTGGAACTGGTTAGTGGTACTCTCGAATGGCGATCGGCACACCGGTTGACCGCACTCCGGAATGCAGGACAAGTTGTCAGGCCACGAGCACCGGCAACTTGGGATGAATACTGTCAAGCTTTCACCTTTCATTTCTCCGCGCCCAACCGCATTGCGATACTAGCTAGAGAAATAGCCGTTCTCAGGCAGGAAGGAGAGACGACAGTGGACGGGTTTGCGCTCAAAGTGACTCAGGCCCGCACACGCCTCCTTGCAGAGGCTGCTCGCTCAGGTCCCTCCCACATTAGCCACTACGAACACGCATGGGACGTTTTCATGACTGCCACATTTGAGAACGGCCTGAAACCTCACATTAGAGTAGAGTGTGTTCGAGAGGACCCTCCAAACTCATTTCAGGACGCAAGACTTCGCGCGAAAAAACACGAGGCAAATAATCTGAGAGGCGTAGCGTCACCCATATCCGACACCGTATCTGCTGTCGCGTACCCTGAACCCCCACAGCTGAAGCAGACTGTGTCCTCAAACACGGCGGTTATCAAAGACCTGCAAGCTGAGGTCACCCGGCTCAAGTCGATGCGGCCGCCGAACAAGAACAGCACAGCGAGTCAGGGTGCCCCGAAAAAGGCGCGCACCGCGGGTAAAGGCAGTTCTTCCTCGGCATCGAAAGAAGAACCGTGCCCCTACCCGGGGTGCAAGTTCAACCACCCCCTTGAACAGTGCGGTTTAAAGAAAAAACACGCTCAAGACAAGGGATGGACTTGGACTAAAGCTTGACGGGGCCCTTCACGGGACTCCTCGCTCGTAGGGAGACAGGTCGATAGCACACCATTAGCTGAAGAAACTCATGTAGCACAGGATGCCCGAGTTGATTTAGCCCCGTATGTGCATGACAGTAGCAAATCGAGGGAATCATTTTTTCCTCGGGTGAGAGGTGGTGATGTGACGTCCGTTCAAGATTTTAGCAGTAATTCTGAGACATCGGTAACAGATTCTGCCCAGGCACCGTTTCATAGTCGGTCAAGTAGCAAAGCAGGGAAAAATAGGAAGAACAAACGCACTCGTGCGCCGACTTCTAAGTTAGCCCCGCAAGCTGAATTTGTACTGACTGGTAGTATGCCATTTAATCATAACACGGAAAGACGTGCCTCTGTTTCAAGTGCAACGAGTGGTGGACCCACTTATGCGGCGTTTCATGCGTCAGCACTGAGTAAATATCCACAACATCCGAATGCGTTAAATTCGTCCTCCAAGAGAGTGCGAATTCCTGCCCGAGTTTGTAATCACGCTGTGTCTGACCTCACTATCGACACAGCAGCTGATGTACCGTGTATATCAGCGTCTTGTATTAAATCGCATCCAGTCCTGCAACGTTTACCTCTGAAACCTGTGCCTCCTGGCGCAATTCAGTTGAATAGTGCAGACGGCTCAGCGTTAAAAATCCTAGGATACATCCGTTTTAAGCTCACACTGGGAGACATAACACTACCAGTGGAGGCTCTCGTGTTGCCCAACCTAGGTCCGGATAAGATGTTGCTCGATAATAGCATTATGAATGCCTTTGGTGCCGTCCTTGATTGGTGCGGTGAGCAACTTTCATTTAAAAATTCAACACGAAAAATTCCGGCAACTCACAGACGTACGAATAGTCAAGTGGACACCAATAATGATGCCCCAGCGCAAATTTCCATAGTGACGCTTGACCCATCGATAGGAGCGGTGCCCGTATATCTCTCTAAGAGATTATGCATCCCCCCCGAAAGTGAAATGGCAGTAGACGTCGTGACAAAACACGCACCACAGGCAAACACGCCTGCGTTGGTCGAGCCACGGATCGTCACTGCCCAAGACATCGAAACGTCTGAAAATATACCCGAAGCGTTCCGTACAATCGTAGTCGCTAGAACGGTATGCAATTGGTCAGCAAAGGACAAGTCCGCTGCAGTACAAGTTGCTAATCCATCCAAACGACACGTTCACATTGCACGCGACACTATTTTGGGGTACATTTCGCCAGTAAAATCGGTTGCCGATAAAACAGTTAGCGCTGTCAATAGCGACCAAACCACATTCCGACACAAGCGAGACGAGTTGAAACGAGCCATGAAAAAAGCGTTCACGAACACTACATTTACTCCTCAACAATGCTCGCAAGTCTTGGATTTATGCGCGAAATACCGTAATGTGTTTTCATTATCTCCGAAGGAGCTCGGAAAATGCAGGATAGCCAAGGCAGATTTTCCGCTAGAACCAGGCACTAAACCAGTCGATCGTGCTCCCTATCGTACTAACCCTAGAGCGCAAGAAGTCATCGACAAGTGTGTGGAACAAATGGAAGACGAGGAGATTATTGAACAGAGACCCAGTTCATGGGGATCTGCTGTTACCATCGTAGCAAAAGCTGATGGCACTCCTCGATTCTGCGTTGACTATCGCTCTACTATTAACAAGAGTCTAATTCGAAAATCTTGGCCCATGCCAGATATAGAATCCCATATTGATACCGTTGGAGGTGCAAAATTTATTACTGTCTGCGATATTCAGTCAGCCTACCACCAAATTGAAGTAGACGAAGCAGAGCAAGAAAAGACCGCTTTTGTGACACACAAAGGGAAATGGGTTTTCAAACGCCTCCCCTTCGGAATTGCGAATGCTCCTTTTCTGTTTGCCCGTATGATGTCTCTGGCATTCTCTCACTTCGGACCACGCAGTGGACTTTTGGTGTATATGGACGACATTATTTGCTGCAGCTCAAATTGGGAGAGGCATCTAACATTATTAGAAAGCATGCTCCAAGCACTCCAAGCAGCCGGTCTTACCTTGAAACCCTCCAAAGTACAATTTGGACCACAGGAAGTAAAATACCTGGGGCACATACTGTCTGCAAAAGGGATTCGCATTGGGGAAGATCGTATACAATCTATTATCGACTTGCCTGTACCCAAAACAATCAAAGCACTTCGCTCAGTATTGGGAATGGTTAACTATGTGAGGAAATTTATACCCGACCTTTCTACGGTCATCGCACCGCTAGTCGGACTCACACAAAAAGAGCATGTAAAATCAATCGCAAAACGTTGGAACCAGGAACATGATAAGGCTTTTGCAGATATCAAACATTTACTCAGCAAAGCACCTGTTTTATGTTTCCCTGACTTCACCAAAGATTTTGTGGTTCACGTGGATGCCAGTGAAGTTGGTGCAGGAGCATTCCTAGGCCAAAAGAACGGCGACGATGTGAATATTATCGCTTATTTTAGCCAACGATTTAACAAAGCTCAACGTCACTACTCTGCGACGATGAAGGAATGTTACGGTGTGGTCTTGAGTTTACAACACTGGCGACCCTACTTGTGGGGCAGACATTTCGAAGTTGTCACGGATCACGCGGCATTGAGATATTTGTACACTATGCAAGACACGTCTAATATGCTGACCAGATGGGCAATCGCTTTGCAGTCCTTTGACTTTACAGTGCGACACAAGCCGGGAAAGTTACATGTAGTCCCAGACACCCTATCGCGGTTGTTTGCGTTCGATCACCAACAACAGTTGGAAGCACCGCAACTTGCACCGATATGTAGGAATGTGCCTGATGACCCTGCGTTGCACTCGAATGTTCCATCACGTCCGTACCAAGTGTCTGCACATCGATTGGATAACTTGCGATCGGTTCAAAGTGATCGCGAATTATTCGCTGGGGAATCAGTTTATATCAGCGCGACCAACGTATTTGAAACTGTTAACCACGATATCTTCCGTGAAAAACAAGCTCTTGAATATGGCACATATGTCGACTATCTTACAAAAACTGACGCCCAATTACCTGATAACGAGACAACCACTTCCATGTCGTACTACTTCGTGCGTGATGGATTGCTGTTTAAATCGTATTTACCAGGCTACCTCCGGAAACGTATTATATAGTACGTTTAGTGACCAATAAGTGTTGCCTCAGGCCCTTACTGGACTAGTGCTGCACGCCTATCACGACCACGTATTATCTGG